CGAGGCCCCTGGCGGGAATGGCTGGGTGTGAGCCTGGGCAGGGAGGCACAGGATGATCCTAGGACATCCTGGTACCAGGGAGCGAGATCATCGAAGGTCAGGATNGTGCGGGACCATGAGAGCGCCCACGGCCTCCTGCGCGGCGGGCAGCTGGGGCGCGGCCACTCCTCTCCCCCTCCGGGAAGACACGCACCCGCATCCGGGCTTCTTGTAATGCAGACGCTGAGGGGCACGCACCGGGAGGCCCGGGAGCAGCCCCGACACCGCCCCTAACGCGCGGTCAGAAACCCCGGCTCCGCATCTCCACGTGCGGAGACGGAGGCCCGGCCTAGGACCCCGCAGGAGACACTCGCTGGGATCTCTCCCGTCCGAGGCAACAGGCAGCCAGCTGGGTCCTTCAATACACTCAGGACGGAAACTGCCGGAAACGGAGGCCAGGCAGCTGGATCTGACACTTCTCAAGCTGTGGGGTTTTTGGTTCCATTTGAACAAATCTCGGTACCGGCAGCTTGACTCTCAGCGGACACTAGGGGGCTCCAGGGGGGCTGCTCTGGCCCCAGGAGGATGGGCCTCCCATTGAGTGAGCACCCCCCCTGCCCCCGGGACTCAACCCCTCTGACCGCAGACACTTCTGGCCTGTCCCGAGCTTCATCAGGAGGCTGGCCGGGCCTGGTCCTTGGCCGGGCCTGCTCGAGGGGCCCGCCTGAGTCTCCAGGTATTTCCCCAGGGGTGGCCCTGCATTCCCTCCCCAGGCCTCCCAGGGCATGGTCCTTCCTCTGGGCCCACACTACCCGATGCAGCCTTGGAGGCAGCCACATGTCCGCCTCGACTTTACTGCATTTATGAGGAGCTTTGTGCTTCCCACGTGCAAGTCCACGCTGGGACTTTCAATGACGGTCATGACGGGGAGCCCAGGCCAGGCAGGGCTGCACTGTTGGTCCTAGTGCCCGGCGCCCTGTCCCTGTGCCACGCCCCCTGTGCTCTGACAGCCAGCCTGCCCCGCCCTCGCCTGTGCCCATGTGGATCCCACAGGTCCCAGCAGGTCCCCTCCTGCACCGAGCCAGGCCCCATCCCGAGGGCACCCTGCAACGGAGGGGGGCCGAGCTGGGGAGCTGGGTCGTCTGTCTCAAATGTGTCTACTCCAAGGACCTGAGGTTTTTCTAAGCCTCACGTTTGCCAAATTCTTGCCACTTTTTACGGACTGTTAGAAAAAAATCACAGGAACTCCTTACATAGGAAAGTGGACAATCTAGAGCCACGTTTTTGGGGAGCTGTTTATCTCCTAGGCACACTCCCCTCCTTTCAAAGGGACGGGCTCACTGAGGAAACCTCCCTGAGGCCGGAGCCTCTGCTCCTCCTCTGAGGCTGTGACCTGCCGGAGCCCTTCCCACTCAAGGAGGCAGGCGGGTCGTATGTCTCCCCAGGATTTTGCTCGGGGCTGGCCTGCAGCTCGGGCTGGGCTCACATGCGTGGGTGAGGGCAGGGCAGGCAGCAAACCCAGCTGCAGGGAGTGCGGGGCCGGTGTGCCCACCGGGCTTTCAAAGCTGGGCGCTGAGGCACAGGGAACCCGGGCTGCAGGGGCTTCGCAGTGTGACAGGAGGAAGCAGTTCCCTCACCTGCCAGGACACTTTTCCAGGACCTCAGCGCTGGGAGAGGGCTACTGGGAGAGGCTTGGCCAGGGGCACGATGGGAAACAGACGGCCCGCCCAGGACAGTGCGTCGCAGGCGTGCACCTGGCCCGGCCTCCCTTCCTCGGCCTGGGTCGACCCCTCAGAGGGGAGTGCCCCTGGGAGATGACAGCATCCCTCTACAGCCCTGGCTGCTCCAAGGCGAGGAAGGTGTCACAACAGAGGCCCCTGGGGCACCCGTGGGCCTCACCTGCGGGCTCCCTCCACCCCCTGCTCTCTAGTTACCGGGACCAGCACTCAGCAGACTGCAGCGGCTTTATGAGCCCACAACTCTCTGAAACAACACCTGTTAAGCAAATGGCACTATTACCCACAAATAAGCACTAAGTGGGCTTTTCTCCCTCCACTTCCGAATGGAAATGGTTTCATCTGCTCCCGAGGTGCCAGCTCCAGCAGCCTCATTACAGACGCCTGCGCGAACGAAGCAGCCCGGGGAGGCCGGGACGCGCACTGGCCACTGGGGCAGAGAAGCGGCCACGGACGCCAGGGCGGGCAGGGACACGCCAGCCAGCAGAGTGGCAGACGAAGGCGGGTGACATCTGCATTCCCCCTTGTGGGGATCCGTGGAAGTGTGGGGAGAGGTGTTTTGCTCACTCCAAGTCAAAGGTCACTAATTCAGCAAAACACCACTGACCCAGAAACACCTGTAAAAGCTGCTTTTCAAATCGAGCCCATCAGCTCCTTGCAGGCCAGCGGACGGCTCCCGCTGATGAGCTTCTATCCCGCAATTCACTGCCCCCCACGCCAATAACACGGCCCTCCTGGGGCACTTTACATGGTCGGGACTGAAAGGGAACCTCGCGCGGAGGAGGTCTGACTGAGAAGCGGGTCACGCAGAGGAGGTCAACACTGGGCCGCCACAGGGCGCTTGGGCAGGAGCTGCGAGGCGCCGGTGGATCTCCGCCCAGGTCACAGTTGCAAGTGAGTTACAGGCTCAAAAATAAATTAGATTGAAAATGTTTTAACAATTTGTTAAAAAAGTGAAATAATTTTTAAAGAAAGCATTCACTAGAGATTGAGGCCAAAGACCAAAACCAAACCCCTAAAATGAATAAATCGGAGTCTGTATCGAGCTGGCGACGGAACCACACGGCGAGAGGGGCTCTCGGATTCGGCATTTCGACGGCACATCCGCAGGGTAACACAGTCTAGGGACGAACACTTACACTGCAGTCACTGGTCTTATTGTTGGTAGGACCATGGAAACGACAACTTTGAAACTCCTTATATAATAGCAGGATAGAGATAATAAGTAATTAGGCTACTATTTCTAAAAAGCACAATTTCAGTGCAAGGGAAAAGGTATTTAAAATATAAACTCAAAGTAAAATATTCTTAAATTTTAATTGGAAATATGAGTATGAACTCATGTTTCCCCTCTGTCCCCTGGAAAGGCCTAGTAGCCGTGACCAGCCAGCAGTAGTGGGCACCCCCCCCACCCCCGTGCTCGGACTGTGTCTTAAATACCACTGGACACTAACGGAGCCGAGGCCCCTGGCGGGAATGGCTGGGTGTGAGCCTGGGCAGGGAGGCACAGGATGATCCTAGGACATCCTGGTACCAGGGAGCGAGATCATCGAAGGTCAGGATGCTGGTGTCTGAAGTCCTGGCACACGACGGGGGCCCCTGACCAAGGGGGGCAATTCTAGGCTTGAAAAGGTTGACTGCCGCGATGGAAATCTGCTTTTACGCTGATCCTCAGGAAGAGAGAGGGCAAAACAGAAAGAGAGCCCAGTTCACACGGGGAGCGCCCGGGGCCAGTGACTCTGAAACTGGGAATTAAGGGAAAGGCTCGGCCCGCTTCCTGCCGCCCTGGGTTCTGGCAATAAGCCTGCGGGTGAGGGCAGGTCCAGCCACTGACCGGGCGAGAGGATAGGGAAGCAGCATCTTAAACACTCAGTTCAGGCCTCGGCTGCAACGCTGAAGGGGCAGCGACAGGGCAGGGCTCGCGGAAGTCCCTGAGCCGGCAGAGGGACTGTCCCACCGCAGGGCCCTGGGCCGCGTGGGAGGTGCACAGCCGCCACCAACGACCACGGCAGTGACGGGGGGACGTGGGGTCACAGCTTGGGGAAGAGCACGTGACATAAAACATATGAACTGCTTCTTTCTGGAGTTTTCCATTTAATATTTTCAGGCTAGCCGAAGCCTCAGAGACGGAAACGGCTTCCCTTGCACGCATTTTGAAGTTCGAGCGTGTGACTTGGGTTTTCATTCGCTGGGGATTTACTTTTGGGCGGATGTGTGAGGTCGGGATGTTTTTTCTAAGCTAACACTTGCTCCAGCCCCTCTACTGATCGGTCCCCACCCGCCGGTTCGCAGAGACGGCTGCTTACTGAGGCTTTGAACACGTCCACGGAATTTGTTCCCTAATTTATGGCTGCTTCCAAGAGTGCGTTGTTTCACCACAGGGTCTGGGTAGGTTTTACCCCAGACAGAGCTCTTTGAAACTATTACTTCTGACCCCGCTCTTTCCCTGCCGCTGTCAGCGCGTGGGGCTGCCGGTCGGCTGTCTCTGGGCGCCACCCTCGGGGCTCCCCGGCAGCTGGGAGCCCGTCCCTCCCGACTGCGGGAGGGGCCCCTGCGACCCCCGCCCGGGCCGCCCATGGTCCTTGATGGACCGGCTGTGCCTCTCCCAGCAACTCGCCGAGGGAGAAACTTCTCCTTTCCAGCAGAAATGTCAGCTCTGTTACTGTTTCACCCCTCAGGGGAGAATAGGGCCTGGAAATGAGCACGCTCCACAGTGTCCAGTGAATGCGTATTCATTCATTCATTCATTCATTCATTCATTCATTCATTCGCTCCCTCCCTCCCTCACTCACTCATTCACTCACTCACTGGTTCACTCCCTCACTCACTCATCCACTCGTTCACTCACTCCCTCCCTCCCTCACTCCCTCCCTCCCTCACTCACTCACTCCCTCACTCACTCTCTTTCATTCATGTGACAGATGAGCTGTACCAACAGCTAACCCTACCAGTACGCTTGGTAACTAACTGTGACAGAGTTAAATGAGTCAGCCGTGCCTCAGGCTCCGCATACCCCTTTGGAACTACAACATGAATTTCAAGCCTTCCACCACTTCCTTATTGTCCAATGAGACTCCTGTCATCTCTGTTCCCCTCATCTCCGCACATCTGTCCCCAGCACCCCAGTTGTTGTGGGTCCCTGGCTCTCCTGCAGACACAGCCACCCCACAAACCACCCCCATGTCAGCTCCATCAGCTATGGACTCATCGCTGCGAAGGAGCCATCACACCCAGGAGCCAGGATCGCTCTTTAGCATCCAGCTCCCGCCTTCACGAGACACATACCTGCCCCTCCACGATCCACCTGCAGATGGACGTCTTCCCGTCGTAGCCTGGCCGGAACTGCAGGGTGGCCGAGCGGGGGCTGATGTTGGAAATGACCAGGTTGGACGGGGCTCCGGGAAGTTCTAGAGAGAAATGAGAGAGGACAGGCACAGGCTTAAACTCTGTCCAGCTTGGAAACGGGTGAAACATGTCAGGGAGTAAACACTTTCAAACGCCTTCCTACCCAAAAGAGGACATGTTTTAAAACCATGATAGGGAGGAGCACAACTCCCCAGGAACACGATCACAGCAGGACCCACACTCTGTGGGTCACCCATCAGGCCCCAGCCGTGGGACATGGCATCAGGAGACATCAGTGTGGCCTCTTGGATGACGCACTCAGGTGGGGACCTTGTTGAACAGATACTTGTCGAATGAAGAAAGGCCGGATGACGGGCTCCTCAAGGACACAAAGCACTGGGCGTCCCCCACCCTGGACAGTGTCCGTGATGCCTTGGGGAGCAGCTGGGCGGGGGATGGAGGAGAGCACACCGCTGTCTCCAGGCAGCAAGACTCGGGAGGGAGGGGGGCAGGTCCTGAGCCCTAGGCTTCCCGGGCCTGGTTTCCACGACGACCGGACGCGGGTGAGAGTGCGGAACTCTCCCCACCGCCCCGTGCGGTTGCTCTGGCAACTGAGGGAAGGTGTGCTCTGCCGACTCCCTCGCCCCCTCAGAGGCTACCTGTGACCGAGGCCTGCTCATCGAGGAGCCGCTGGGGTGGGCTCCTGCCCCTGAAGCCCACCCCCCGAGCGACATGCGGTGCTCAGAACGGCAGCCCTGACGTCAGTGTGCGGGGCAGACGCCCTCGAGAGAGACACGGGGACACGGGAAGGGTATGCAGTGCCGCGGAGAGGAGGCCGCGCCGTGTCCGAGGACCGCCTCCCAGCTCGCCCTTGCCGGGGACTTCGAACCAGCCTGACGGGGACCAGAGCCACCTTGGTGGTCAGCTCAGGGCTGGCACAGGCAGGGGCTTGGGGACCTCAGGGGCCCTTCCTTTTCTAGTCTAATAAACCTAGTCTAATAAGCAGAAAATGTTTACATCATAGGACAAGCGACTCATACTTTTGAGCCCTCCGGATTTTTTTTTAATTGACTTTGAGAGAGAGAGGGAGAGAGAAACATTGATGTGAGAGTGAAACATCAACAGGCTGCTTCCCGCACGCCCCCCACTGGGGACGGAGCGTGAAACCTGGGCATGTGCCCTGAATGGGGACTGAACCGGTGACCTTTTGGTGCCCAACCAACAGAGCCACGTGGGCCAGGGTGCTCTCTGGATTCCTAGCACGGTCCTTCAGTCACTAATGGCTGTAAACTTCAGGCACAGCACACAGAATACAGCCCCCAAGTTCTTCTGTAAAAGAACTTCTTTCTTAAAGGAACGCATTTGCTTTGTCAGTGCCTTTTAAAAACAAAGTGTGGTCCCGCCCAGCATCCTCAGTGGCACCTGAGACCTTGTTCTGCAGGCAGGTGCTCCAGCCTTGCTGCCCAGGAGGGACACTGGGGGGGGGTGGCATCGGGTTCTGAAGGAGCCTCATGGTCCTGGTGTGTGTGTGACAGAGCTGGGACCTCTGCCTTACAGGGAACAGGGGAACTGTCCACTGGTGGGCAGCAGATGCTCTGGGACACTGCTGGGCTCAAGGCTCCCCTGCTGGCAGGGTGGGTCTAACGGCTTCTAGAAAGTTCCCTAGGAGGCTGTACTGCCCAGAGGAGAGGAACAGCCTCCCCGCTGCTCACCAACAGGTACTTGCTGGCTGGCAAGAGGGGAGGTGACGGCAACATGTCACTTGTTTGATACCGTCTGCAGATCACCCTGCAGGATAGTAATTAGGTCACGAACACTGCAGTGGGTATGGGACCACCACCAACACAGACACTGGCTTTGGAGGGATCTCTCGGGCCCTGACGAACGGGGCACCGTGCTTTCCTCAGAGGCCAGAACAGGGCGGACCGATACCTTTCAAATGGCAAGAGACTCGCAGCTTTGGTTACAGAGCTGAACTGGGAGCCCAGTCTCTTCTCACGGGCACTGTGGACTCCAGGAGAAGCTTTGCGTCTTCAACATGAACTTTAAAACTGGAGAAAGCTGAGTAGTCATCTTCCAGGAGAAAGGAGTGAGCGGACCTCTCAGGAGGCTTGTGATTTGAGGACGGGAGAGCGGCTGCCACCCACACCCACCGTGAGCCAACACCCCCAGCGGCCAGCTGTGCACCGACAGGCCCCTCACCTTCTAGACTTTTCTGTGTCTTTACCTTTCCTTCCGCCTTCTCCTACTCTCTTTTCTCAAACCCAAGTCTTCACTGTTTGTTAAATGAATAAAGTTTTAGGCTTCCCAATGCATATGAAAGGGGTTCTATGGAAAACAGCCTCCCAGGGAGATCTGATCATGAATTCCTGACAGGTCAGGTGTGCGGGTGGGGAGCCCAGGCCTATAGCTTCTTTAGTGAGAGGCTGGGAGCCAGGCCCGCCTCTAGGGGCTGCACCCCTTTGAACCGGCAGAGTGAGCCCTTTCCCAGGCCCTCAGAGGCGGGGCCACCCTCAAGGCGGCAGGTGGCCCTGCTAAGCCGCAACACGATGCCTGCCTGCTCTGAACCTGCCTCGCGGTCCCGCCTTCGTTCCACACGCGCAGAGGAACTGCAACTCTGGCATCCTCAGGGGGGTCTGCAATCCTGCTTCCTGGCAATTGTCGTTAGTTTGGCTCAAACTCACGTGTTTATAAAAATCTTCTGCAGGTTTGGACATTTCTTTTGTCAACACTATTCTCGATTTTAATACCAACATTTCCTATTTCTCTCACACAAGGCCTGCATTTTCCTGCTGTGCGGTTTCCCTTTCCCGGGAGGTGGGACCTCGGTGCCAGCTCACTGAGGGGTTCACGTCTCCCCTCCCCGCACCCCACACCGGACAGAAGAGCGGTGAAGGTGTCATCAGAAGACACCGGGAAACAGGCCGGTGGTGGGTCATCGCCCACTTGCGCCCACCACCCCACAGGACGCTGACACCCCCTGAGAGGCGGGTCCCCTCCGAGCCTCAGAACTCTAGGGGAGGGCGGGCAGGGAAGCGGCGGGTGTGCTCACTGACCTGGGGGCACGCCAGAAGAAATGGTGGACGAGGTCACCAGGCCCACGCCCACCGCCGTGATGGCAGCCACGTCGATGGTGTAGGTGGTGAGAGAGGACAGCCCTTGGATTTTATACTCGTGCGTCGAGCTGTTGAGTGTGTCTGTGAGCCGAGAGTCGTTCCTTCCGTAAACCTCCCACGAGATCCTATAGCCTGGGGAGGACATGCAGAGTTAGGGGGTGTCTCCTGGAGCGAGGGGGCGGTGGGGGGCTGTGCCTTCATCCCTGCGCATCTATAGAGGTCCGACGAGAGGCCACTGCCCTGGCAAAGTGCACCTCAGAGTCCAGCCTCCGTCCCAGGTGCCCCCAGAAACCTCGCCAGCCCCTCTTGGCGACACTGTGATCTGCAGGAGGACAGGGCCGCCCCGCCAAGCCGGTAACCTCAGTGCCCGTGGCATGAGGACTGATGGCTGCCAGCCCGCCGTGCGGGATCTAACCTCCTCTTGTCAAATTACGGCTGCACCTCAGTAGTATTTCCATTTTTATAAGCTCGTATTTTCCCTCCGCAGAGCCCTAAATCAGCTGCTCGCTCCTGGGCTGCACCTAATTTGTGGACACGCTGCTCTGCTCCCCCAGGAATGACGGATACGCGAGCGCTTGGCCTGAAAAAGGGGCTGTTCGCCGACTGCCTGGCTGAGCTCGGCTCCCAGCTCCGCGCCCCCTCGAGCCCATTCTCCTGGTGAAATCTGATTTCCCTCCTCTCTGTTCAGTCTAGAGGGGACTCATAACCACAATTTATCCAGCCTGGGCTCCACTGTGGTTTGAGGCTCAGAGAAAAAAGACCGGCCAGCTCCTGAACCAGCCCCGCGGAGGGCGCTGATGTGATCAGAGGCTGAAGAGCGCTCTGCATTCGGGGACAGTGACGGAAAGAGCTCCCAGGCCCAGCGGCAGAGGGAAGCCGCTGAAAACACTCCTTCTTTCCAGTNCCACCCCACAGGACGCTGACACCCCCTGAGAGGCGGGTCCCCTCCGAGCCTCAGAACTCTAGGGGAGGGCGGGCAGGGAAGCGGCGGGTGTGCTCACTGACCTGGGGGCACGCCAGAAGAAATGGTGGACGAGGTCACCAGGCCCACGCCCACCGCCGTGATGGCAGCCACGTCGATGGTGTAGGTGGTGAGAGAGGACAGCCCTTGGATTTTATACTCGTGCGTCGAGCTGTTGAGTGTGTCTGTGAGCCGAGAGTCGTTCCTTCCGTAAACCTCCCACGAGATCCTATAGCCTGGGGAGGACATGCAGAGTTAGGGGGTGTCTCCTGGAGCGAGGGGGCGGTGGGGGGCTGTGCCTTCATCCCTGCGCATCTATAGAGGTCCGACGAGAGGCCACTGCCCTGGCAAAGTGCACCTCAGAGTCCAGCCTCCGTCCCAGGTGCCCCCAGAAACCTCGCCAGCCCCTCTTGGCGACACTGTGATCTGCAGGAGGACAGGGCCGCCCCGCCAAGCCGGTAACCTCAGTGCCCGTGGCATGAGGACTGATGGCTGCCAGCCCGCCGTGCGGGATCTAACCTCCTCTTGTCAAATTACGGCTGCACCTCAGTAGTATTTCCATTTTTATAAGCTCGTATTTTCCCTCCGCAGAGCCCTAAATCAGCTGCTCGCTCCTGGGCTGCACCTAATTTGTGGACACGCTGCTCTGCTCCCCCAGGAATGACGGATACGCGAGCGCTTGGCTTGAAAAAGGGGCTGTTCGCCGACTGCCTGGCTGAGCTCGGCTCCCAGCTCCGCGCCCCCTCGAGCCCATTCTCCTGGTGAAATCTGATTTCCCTCCTCTCTGTTCAGTCTAGAGGGGACTCATAACCACAATTTATCCAGCCTGGGCTCCACTGTGGTTTGAGGCTCAGAGAAAAAAGACCGGCCAGCTCCTGAACCAGCCCCGCGGAGGGCGCTGATGTGATCAGAGGCTGAAGAGCGCTCTGCATTCGGGGACAGTGACGGAAAGAGCTCCCAGGCCCAGCGGCAGAGGGAAGCCGCTGAAAACACTCCTTCTTTCCAGTCAATAAACTCAGGGGTACTGAAGCTCCAGGAGGCGTCCTAACGCGCCTTCCCGTTCTGACGAGAGCAGTGAATACAGTAGGAACTTTACTTCAGGTGTACAAGAGTTTAGGGGGCAGCGTCTCAGGACTTTAATATTAAAAAAATTAATGCCAGAAGCTGCTGCCCCTCAGCTCTCGTACAGCCCAGCAGCTTCTGTGTGCTGGTGGGGGCTCCCAGGCTGGGGACACCTAGGGACAGGGCAGGCAGAGGGGTGGTCCTATCAGGGGGCGCCCTGGTGCTCATGAGAGCACCCCAAATTACAGCACCTGCTGACTGCCTGAAGGCTGCTCCTGGCGTGTAGGTCCCTGTCCAGGCCCCAGGCCCCAGGCCCCCCAGACCCCTCAGGACTGCTAACCCTTTGTCCTCAGGGTCTAGCCTGCCTGTCTGGCCTCGTCTCCCTGACCACCCAGCACAGCCCTGCTCTGGCTCCCACCCGACTCCAGATGACCTTAGGGTCTCGTCCTCTTTGCCACCATCCTGAGGTGACGCCCCTCAATCTCCCAGCACTGAAATCAGGAAGCACCTAAACCAGTCATTTCTTCACTTTGTTACTTCAGGATTTTGGAGCCAATTGTACAATTAAAACAAAGACAAACCTGCAGGCGATGAGTCTTAACTTCACACACATCGAGTATGTACCTGCTCCTGCGGGCGCTGAGCCCTCACGTGTATTCGCTGTTAACCCCGCACAGCCCCCCGAGGTTGCAGCCACCATCACCTCACTTTACCGGGAGGGACCCGTGCGCAGGGAGCTCTGGCACGTGCTGGGCACCGCAGGGCTGGCCCCGGCTCTGCGAGCCTCCCACAGGCCTCGCTCCGCGTCACCTCTCTCTGAGCCTGAAAGTGTGCGCGTCAACCTGGGAGCCACCCGACCTCGGGGGTTACTCCTGGAAACAGATAATTTGGTGCCGATGGCCTCCTCTGCACGCAGAGAAAGGGACGGCTTTGCGAGGGTGTTGACCTTGTCTGTCCGCCCGACGATTTCATTGGTTTGACAGCGGATCTCCATCAGAATTTGCGAAGTGACAGCGTCTTGCCAGCCTAAAGCCGGCCGCCCAGGCATGGCCACTCAGCGCCTGCAGCGGCAGATCGAGGCCTTTCAGCTCAGACTGGGAACTCGGCCGCTGCACTGTTACGCACACAAACCGAGCCAGCGGACAGCAGAGCTGCCCGCCCACCCCACGGGGCCCACGGGACGCCAGCACAGGGGGGAGCTGGCCGGCCACGGGATGGAGGACGGGAGAGGCGCTGGGCACGTGATGGGCAGGGCTGTGGCGGGCACCAGGCCCTTGGGCAGCGCGCAGTGTTTGAGGACGTGCGGCAGCTCTGGCCGTGAATGTTTCATCGGTTGCAGCGGGCGAGGGGCGAGGGGGCCGAGGAGAGAGCCAGGTGCCGGCACCTCCTGTCCACACCCTACCTGCTGAGTGGCCGCCTAACTGAGACTAACGGCCCAGGTTGCTGCAGAAATAATTTTCTGTTGATCTGAAGTAAATTCTCCACCGAGAGCAGCGCACCCAATCACAAACTGTCCGCGCGCATCCCGGGCCTCATAAATCAGGGTTAGGAGGCAGAGCGAAGGTGCCGGATTCACAATGTGGGCGAAATGGGCAATTTGCTGGGTGGGCAGGGCCGTCCTGCTCGGCACCCCCTCCCCCGGCCCTGAATTAAAACGAGGCACAGGGGCTGCTCCCCGGCACCAGGCTGGCACAGTGTGGCTTCCCACAGGCGTCAGACCACAAAGCGTAAAGCGGCCTGTGCGGGAACGCGCTGGAGGCCACCGCCCGCCCGGGCCCCTGCCTGCTGCCTTAACCAGCAGGCCCAGCGGCTTTCCCAGGAGGCTGCCAAATGCTGGCCCTGGTGCCACGTCGACATTGCTGACAGTGGCTTTTGGGAGCCAGGCTTGCTGACACACACGGCTCCTCGTCTGTTCTACCTGGTGAAACGCTCCGCCTTCCACGGGGACTAGGCCGACCGTGTGGTTCTGCCTGCATGCGCCCCCGGGAGCCAGGTCGATGTGGGGTACTCGCGTGTTGGGGCAGAGTGTCCAGTGCAGGGAGAGCGTCACCAAGGCCAGCGGTCACAGGGAGGCGATGGGAGGGACCCCATGAGGCCAAGGAAATGGGTGTTGGGTCTCACCTCTGGGTGGCCTTTCCCACCACACCCTTCACAGAGCGCTGTGAGCATCCGTCTGGTGGATTCTGGGCACATTTTATGGTGTGGCCGTCAAAGGCCAGATGGAGTGACCCGGGGATCACGTGCCTGGAGCTCTGTGCATCTCCCGGCCCAGGGCCAGGCGGCCAGGCGGCTGGCTGACTCTGGCTCTGAGAAGGGCCTTTGAAGGCCAAGTCCACAATGACCACAGGCCGCAGGCGTACCCCTAGGCACTCGCTTAGATAAAATACGGAAATGAGCTCAGTAAGCCATTAGCTGGTGGAACTGAAGACCCTAAACAGGAGTGTCGGCAGCCATGGCTTTCCTGTGAGGTGCTGGCTCCACCCACAACTGTACGTGGCTTCCTTTAAGATTTACACAAGAGTGAGTGTGCGAGTGCTCAGAAGGGACACGGGTGTTCAGGGGGTGCTTGCTGAACGAAGGGAAGAAAGGGCCCCTCCCCTCTGGGGCTCAGCGTCATCACCTGTAAATCGGTCACATCAAACTACTGTGTTGCTATGAGAACCAAGGGAAATGAACACACTTGAGAGAATCACCCTGAGTGACCAGTTCTCGTGGACCAGACGTCACAGGATTGTTAAGATGATGGAGGGAGACTCGGTCTCTGGAATCGGAGGCTGGAGCACAAGCAGGAAAAGGCCCTTAAGGAGCCGGGCTCCTGGTGCAGGGTCCTGGGTGTGGGGACGTGTGCTCCGCCGGGGTTTTGTCTGGAGTTACACCCAGGTCTGGGCACCGGAGAACCTGCCCCTTTCCCCGCCACTCACCTGTGATGGCCCCGTTCCGCTCCAGGGGCTCCTGCCAGCTGACCTTGAGGGACGTGTCCAGGATCTCCGTGAAACTCAGGTGCCCCACAGCTCCCGGTCCTGGCAATCAAACAGAGTCGTCTGTTAGCACAGGGTCCACCTCCTCCAGTCAGGCTTGTGCAGAAAGCTCCCACTACAAAGGGAGGCAGAGAGCCGGGGCCAGAGCCCCAGAGGCAATGGCTGTGAAAACGCAGCGGGAACTGGGGCTGTGAACAGTGTCCTGGCCGTGGCCACGTAAACAGTTCCACTCAGCGTCGCCCTGCCACGTGCCACTGCCGCCCCAGGACACCTCTGAATGATCCACGCCGAGGTCTTGTCAGTAACAACACAATGCAGCCTTTCGAGCCGAGACAGGAGAGCGTGAAGTCGCGGGTGTGGGCTGTTCCCGTCCAGGCTCCCGCCCGCCC